AATAAAATGATAAAGTAGTTTTAAAAAATGCCATGCCATGTTAGAATTGTTAAAGCAAGAATCAAAATTATAATATTGACTAAATTTAAACTTTCTATTAAGTCAAGACTGCTCAATTATTTTACTATTAATCGGGTCAGTTAAAATCGGTCAGTTAACTGGTCGGTCGGTCAAAGGCCTTTGACCGACCGTTGACCGACCGTTGACCAACAACGATGGACCGTTACGTCCTAATCCTGTTCGATTTTTCAGCCAATTAATATTGTCATATTAAATATTTATATTCGTTTCGTTTTTCAAATAATAGTCAAGGAGGGGGAACATTTCGACATTGGATGAATTTTACTACAAAACTTATCATGATGTGACTATCGATGAATGTCCCAAGTTCTAAAAATATATTGGATGCTATCTCCTTGGTTTATAACAAAAAGAACAACAAATATCTGAAGGTAAAATCCTTTTGAATAAGGTAATGCTATTTTGTACTGGAAACACTTCGTGGCTAAAGCTTTCAGTTGCAAGTAACCAGACCTGGTGTACGGAAAGTGGCCTACCGTAAACGCCCTTCTATAGATTCTTCGAATTTGTTTGAAGAGTCGAAAGCACCTTGTTAGTGATTAAGAGGCAGAACCCAAGTGTCAGCGACATTTCCGGTAGTCAAACACTTGGACTGAGATAGGGTGTATCCACAACTGGAGTTGTCACGTGTGCTATTCGTCGCTGGCGAGCCCACTAAACAATTACTATCAATCGGCCGTAGCGCTGTTGGTAGCATGGTTTCTTGCAAAACCATGCACAGACTTTGACTGTTGTTAAACTGACATAGTATTATACTTACTTCTTTTTTATCTTTTTTATCTAGCTGAAAGATATTAGTATTGAAGTTGAGAATTACAGTTACATCACAATCAAGAGGATTCACATGTGCTCTTCATTATTTCGTAATGTTGAGGTAGTTCAACGTTTCAATACTACAAAAAAATTTTTATAAAAAATTTTGTAGTTAGATCTAGGAAATAATTGAGAATAATTAAGGGTCGTGTCTGAGGATGTCTGAACTGCTGTGGAAATGCTTTTTTTTTTCTTATTGCTACTTTATTTTATTTATCATTATTATTAATTGTTTTTTATTTGAATTTTATATTTATTGTATTTTAGGCGTTTTTTAGGTTATTTCTTACAGGTAGGATTACTTAAGTTTGCTTAGAAAGATATTTT